TAAAATCGACTTTCTCGATACAGTCACGAGTCCTCTCTTAAACGAGTTCTTTTTCATCCTATCTTTTTTATTGTGAACGTGCTCAGTTTTTAAAACTGGTTCAAGAACTCAATTCATTTAAAGTCAGTCTGCTAATAGTTTACGCTCGGTTTATATAATCACCCAGCCAAATGTAGCAACATGTCATCATACTAAGCATGTATATATACACATAATAAAAAATGATCAGCACCAGTAAATTCTAAAGCACTGTAAGGCATTTGCATTTAACTGTGCAGAAAGAGACATGTCGCCTTCCTCAAATATATTTCTTGACCCATAATCATGGGTTAATCCCAATCCAGGTGACAATCGTCTCTAAACCTGATTAACTAAGTAAGAACGGAAAAAGAAATATAGAAAGGAGTGAATACATTTTAAAAGATTCTAGCGCAATAAGAGAGAAGCAACATACCTTTTATTATCGGTATTAAATAGCTGTATTTCAAAGCTTGGTTTTTCTTTTGATTTTAGCTCAATGTTTCCGTCGACACGACAAAGTCAACAATTATTACTTCAAATTCGTGAAACAGTTCAAGATTTGTTATTAAGAAATTTAAGCAATTATAAGCAACAAGGGCTTATTTGTCAAGATCGAGAAAAAATTTACCAACCACACTATGATTATTTAAAAAAATATTTCAAGGTAAGCATTCATGAAATATATTTCAAGTAGTTTTTCCTGTTTTCATCAAATTTCCATCTAACGTGTCAAATTTATTTTTCTATTTTAGTTAAAGCGTTTTCACCAACCTTGCGATCGGCTCTTAAAAAAATTAAATTTGGACACTGCACAATATGTTGCAGATGGCAAACTTCAAGAAGCACATGACATTCGAATGGGAATATCAAAAACAAAAGGAAAGTTTTACTTGACAAAAGTAAAAACAAGAAAACGTCGTCCAGATAAATATTCAATTGGAATATCGTTCATTATTCATGAAAAATTGGACAAAAAGTAGTGCTCTTTTGCTTTTTTTGGAGTAGTGATTCATAGTTTTGTTTATGACCTTATTGTTATTTTCGTTTATTCCATTGTTGTTATTTTTTTAGGAAAAATAAACTACTGGTGCAATTGGTATAGATGATGATGAAAGTAATTTGGGATTTCCTTGGTTATATTTAATTTATGAACGATAATGTTTGCAAAGCAAGCGTGAAATATATCAAAACCTAAGTTAAGCGAGGTCATTATTAGTGTTCCTTTGGTA